TTTCATTTCTGAAAAATATTTGTAAATAAAATGTCACAATAGTGTTTGTCACATCCTTTGGATCACCTAGTAATATATATGAACTGAAAAATTGTCCCTGTTGTTATTTTTATTTGGGTGCACATGGTATTTGAATCCATAACATATTTTCTTTCTTTCCTTTCCCTAACTATAAGTCACGCACAATGTAGTTTTCTAAATTAAGAACAAATGTCAGTGACACACTTCCATAAGCACTAAGTGCTGGTCTCCTGGAAATATCATTCACATTTTCAACATGAGGGAAAATATATTTCTATATATTTGTATAGATTTCCTGCACTAAAATCAGCGCCCCCCCCCACGTGCACACACGCACGCACGCACGCACACACACACACACAGAGGATCTTATCTGCAGGACCAGATTCTAAACCTGTACCAACAATTCAAAACTTCATCACTTATAGTATAAATTAAGTACATTGGCAATTATCTACATTCTCTAAGTCCTATTACAGTATCCCCCAGAATTGATCTGTTCAACCTTACAGATCCCCAAAATTACTCACAGAACCTTTAACCAAAACTGAGGAGCCACAAAATTTTAGAGTGACGCTATAGAGCTAACAGCTTAAATGCAAAATAAGGCAAGTGAAAATATTCTTCTCAAGCTCATATTCTGTATTTGATGAACGGAATCATCTACACAATAAATTAAAAATTCTAGATCTTTGTACTCTTGAACCAGATGTGCAAATTTAACACTTTGCGGACCGCACACCCTTTAAAAGGTTTTTCGCTTTTAAACATGGTGGACAGATCGCCTGCTAACTGGCTTTTAGAATACGATAAGTTGCAACACACTATACATCTCTCTGGCGACACCCAAATGAATGACTACTGCGTAATATTACTCCGGAATGTTTGCCTAGTAGGTAGTAACTTGACCTCGCTGTTCTGGTTCCCCCTCCAAAGGAAAATAATCTTTGACCCTTCAAGCTGTTATGTACCAGGCAGGATGTTAGTGCAATATGAATCAAGGACAGAAGCGGTTGAAGACGAAGCGATCTCTCGGAGAACAAGAAATATCTGACTTGTTCTCCGATGAGCTATTTGACATGCCTTGTGAGAGGAGTAGTGAAACTGAGACAGTGGCAGTGACAGGGGTCAACAAACAAGTGTAGCCACAGACAATATAAGTTAAAGTAGCTCCAAGGAAAGTGCAGGTAGTAAAATTGCGGGTACAGCCTCATGGGGAAAAGTAGACAAAATGCCTACTTTGAGACAGTTTACTGGAAATCCATGGGTGAAACAAATTCCATCGGACACAATGCAAGTGTCTGAAGTAGCAGAACTGATTTTGGAGATAGAGATACTCTTGTTGTGAATATGATTTCCACAATTCACAATTCGAGCATGGTTCATGTTGAAAGGAGACACAGACAAGTAAAGAAGCCTATTTGTATTTCTGAGTATAATACTTTAACGTGTTTTGTTACTGAAGACACCGTTCGGATGTTTAATTGGTTTATTTAACAACCTACAAGTATCGGCTACAATTAATTATAACAATGTTATGGGTTTCCACACTTATAAACCCTACAACCAAATCTCTTCACACTATCACGATTCACTCATTACAACTGAAATTGGTGACTACTACAATTCAACTCACTCCTTACTGCTCATGGTTGGCTAGATTCCGACTCAACTCGTAGGCTGCTGCCTTGAGAACTTACTTCGGTGTCTGATACACTTTTTAACTTGTTCACTGCTGACTGGAGAACTGTCTTCGGCGGCTGGTACACTTTAACTCGTTCACTGCTGACTGGAGAACAGTCTTCGGCTGCTGATACACTTTAACTGACTTTGTCGGCTGTGTAGTTCCCTTATATAGTCGCAGCACCTGCCTGTTACGCAATGGGTACCGCTGTTGCCTGCTACCCGTGTCCCAGCTGCATTGCGTGTTAAGTCACCATGGGGAGTAACGACAGCCCTACAATGCCGCCNGGTCCTCCGTTGCGCAACATGTCACACTGCTCCCTCCTTAAGGCTGTTCGTCCTGAATAGCCTAATGGTGCACACCCGTTCCTTTGCTTTGGAGGCTGTTCTTGCAGCATCTCTTCTCCGGCTGTTACAACCGCTCTCCTCTTCTGACCAGCTCATCTCGAGCAGTTTCCTATCAACTCACTAGAAGATCCAGTTGTATCCCATTCATCCATCACTTTCATTCTTGCTCAGGCAGCCGGTGCTTCTACGTTACTTGCTCCTCTTCTGTGCTCTGCTTCTTTTTCGTTTCGGACGGGGTCGACCCCTCCACAGGGTCCAATTCTTGATCATGTCTTTCTTCGGAAGTTTCCTTTGTTGACGCAATGGTGTGGCCTGTACTCGCTGACGTCGTTCCTCCTGGTCTTCCAGCCGCTTGCTGGTACACGACCGTGGCACCAAGTCCTTTCTCTGGCATCTGAAGGTTCCCTGGGGAGTTTCCTTCTTGAAGGCATTTCTCCACCGTCGTGCCACTGTCGCGCAATGAGATATCTTCCTTGCAGGTGGCAGCCAACTTCATCCGGGATTCATAATCTCCTTGGGTTCAACATTTCCTGAAGATGTTCCTCCAATGATATGCCATGGTTGCACAGCAGGACACCTTCCTGCTAGTTTTCTTCTGCCGTGCCACTTCCACATGGCGGCTCATTGCTCTGCGGGCTACGGCCAACTTCTTCTGGGGTCCGCAATTTTCACATGTCAGATTCTTCATATTTCGTTGCTTATTTTGGTCCCTACACCTTTTCTTCGGTTCTCCAACCAGCATTACTTCAGCGTCTTCTACGGGTACCTCTCGTTGGTAGGCCGCCTCTGGTTTCATGTCCACATAGGCTGGCTCTTCTTCTGGATGTGCTTCCGTTTCTCGGCAGGCCATTGTCTCTCCGACCGGTATCACTATGGCGACCTCTTCTCGTTGTGCCACCGCAGGTTTCGTGTCCACTGTGGCTGGCCTTTCCTCTTCTAGATATACCTCCATCTCTTGGTAGGCTATCGTCTTTACTTCTTTTTCTACATGCGCCTCCGTCGTTTCTCAGCAGGCCGTCGTCTCTTCCCCTATCTCTGGTTTAGATGTGGACACCATCTCCATGTGGCTGGTGCACATATTTTCTCGCAAGGCAGCCATCCTTGCTTGGGTTGCTCTCGTCTCTGCATCCAACTTTTCTCCCCAGGCGTCTAATTTGGCCATTAAATCCTCTTTGTCTTTCTTTCGATTGGCCTCCATTATGTCTTGCATCTGCACTAAGCGTTCAAACAATTTTTCCATATCCATCATGTGGCAGTAAAATTTGTTTCAATAGTTTGTCCTGAGTTAAGGAGTGTTTAAGTTCGTAAACAATTCTGACACCAGTGTAACGTGTTTCGAATTTGAATCTTGTTGCTCACATGTGTAAGTCCAATCCCACTTCTGACACCAGTGTATTGTGTTTCTGTTACTGACGACGCCATTCAGATTGTTAATTGGTTTATTTAACAACCTATAAGTCTCGGCTACAATTAATTATAACACTGTTGCAGGGTTTCACACTTTATAACCCTATTCGCAATAATCAATTCACCCTGTCCTCAGTAGTCTACCCCTATTAATTACGATACGGGAGCTATACAAGTGTCACTGTATCACACACTCCCAATTATTACTCAGTTATCACAAACTACCACTGATTATCACACACACGTCCGTAACTCGTAACTCACCGCTGGCTAGATTCCAACTCAATTCGTAGGCTCCTGCCTTGAGAACTGTCTTCGGCCTCTGATACACTTTTTACTCATTCACTGCTGGCTGGAGAACTGTCATCAGCTGCTGATACACTTTAACTAATTTTGTCGGCTGCGTAGTTCCCTTATATAGTCGCAGCACCCGCCTGTTATGCAATGGGTACCGCTGTTGCCTGCTACCTGTGTCACAGCTCCGTTGCGTGTTACATCACCGCGGGGAGTAATGACAGTGCTACGATGCCGCCACATACCGCTGGGTGGGGGTCCCCCTCCGTTGCGAAACATGTCACAATATGTTCATGAAGGGAGTTGATAGAGCCAGTCAATACTTGGCCTATTATTCTCTTCCTAGATAAACAATAAAGTGGACAAAGAAAGTTGCCTTGTGACTTATAAATTGTGCCATTCTCAATTCATTTTTGGTTTACAAAAATCTAAACCCCAATTCAAAATTGAAATACAAAGCATTTCTGATGAATGTGGCAAAGGCCTGGGCTACAGACCAGATGGTGGCGGCAGAACGAGAGTCAGACAAAGACTTAGTGGAACCGGGACCATCACTCCCACCCCTCTCAGGCCTCATGTGGACCCCCCTGGGCGACTCTCGGGTAATATGCGGAAATATACCCCCGTGAAAATTGTGAAGAGTGAACATTCCAAGGAAAAGCATCCTTCTAGGCAATGTCGTGTTTGCACAGTTCACAGAAAAAGGAGCATGACTGCCTACATTTGCAAGTTCTGTGTAATGCCACTTCATAAAGGGAAATGTTTCCAAGAATATCACACTCTCAAGCACTTATAGGAGCATTGGTAAGTGTTCTCCAAAAATTTTAGTTCATAAAATTAATTATGAGATTTTATATTAATTTTTAAAGTGAACAGTGCACAAGTTAGGGTAGTAGGTTTAAAAATTCCAGTCCCCAGGGTGATTTAAATATTTAAACTGCCGGTCCACAAAGTGTTAAGAATTAAGTGCAGTATCAACTGAATAGATTTTTATAATGTTTCATTTGCAAGTCAGCATCCTCAAATAAAACAGTCATCACACAAATTTATCCACAGAAAAACAAAGAAACCCAGGTTTTATAGAACAAAATTTGGGAATCAGTATACTATTAAATTACGAATAGTATTGCAGTCATATGTAGTGTAGGTGGACACGTTGCCCAGGATTTTTCAAAATTAAAATCATTATGTGATCATTTCATAACCACAAAAAAAAAATAATACTTGCAAAAACAAATGTGTCAAACCTCAGAATCTTTCTTCTTCCACTGATCCCACTGTTCTTGTGAAGGGTTTTTCTTTTTTTGCTGTCCATCTCTGCTGCCTTCACCCTTTCCTGTCTTGCCTTTAGATTTAGCATTCGAGTTTGACTGTGTTGGCTAAAACAAAATGATTACCTTTAAGCTGCATAACCACAAAAGAATGTATTCCCTATATATAAACCGAAGCTTTTGCTTTGCACAAGTAAATAGTCTTCTTCCACATGAACTAGAAGTCAGAGATGTAATTTTACTGCCCTCTTCTAATAAAGATTGATGGTGAGACACCAAGTCCTATAGCCATAAGAGAATGTGAAAATTATTATATTCTGGGATATGATGTGATATAGTCTGGTAGGACACCTACAGTGTTTCTGAGGAACCTGCTGCTTCCATCTACTGCCCTCAAAATGGAGGCAGCAGGTTCCTCCAAAGTGCTGGTTAACTTTCTACCAAACTTAGTATCTGAGAGAGAGAGAGCGCGACTATATATACAGAGTGTCCCAGGAGGAATGTGCCAAACTTCAGGAGGGTGTTCGTATGTTAAAGTATGCCGATATAACCGAAAACACCTATGTCCAAAGTTGAACAGTTATGGAGATAATGGCCAGAGAAGTGTGAAACTTTGACCGGTGTTACACACTTGTTGATTACAAAATACATATTAAAACTGGCAGGAATATGTGGTTTCTGTAATGTTAATAATGTACGTAACATCAAACTAACTTTTGAGAGAGACATGAAGCCATAAAATTGAAGTACAAAATACTCGCTCGCCATGTCATAATTGTCCTTCGGTTTCCGAGCACTATATATGACACATGACTGGCAAGCGCTGACGTAACATGGGTGTCTGAGCATACTGGTATAAACAGACTACATAACTGTATTAAACGTACATTCACGGAAAATCTCTTTTGGAATTTCGTTTCCATTATCTCATATGGATTATTATGGGACCACGTATGCACATTTCGTAAATTATTTACACCGTCCAGGGCAAAAGACGAATCATCACTGAATAAAATGACGCTTAACAGTTCGGGATGAGCTTTTATCCTGTGGCATAAATCCATACCCTGTGCATGGTCGCCTGGTTCCAGATGTTGTACCCTTTGATCATGGTAAGGATACAACTCTTCATCATGTAAAGTTCGCCACACCAGCATACGTGATACGCCGACGCGAGAGGCCATTCTACGAGTGGACAGACATGGACTTCTCTGAACCATCTCAAGAATGTTCTCTCATGTGTTTATCATTCGTACATCCTCCCTTTCAGAGTGCACAGAAACACTCGGAAGAGAACCAGTATCACACAATGTCTGGTGAATTCGCGTAAATACACTTTGACATGTAATCCTTAGATCGGGAAAACGCCTTTGGTATTTTTCAACAGCAGCACTTGCATTGCCACCACAAAATACACACATAAAATGCATATCACAATATTCCACGTTTGAAAACACAAAAGGCATTTCAGCAACTCCGCACAATTAACCTCCCACCCATTCAAAACGTGGCTGCAACATATACCCTGTATATATACAGAATGTCCCAGGAGGAATGTGCCAGACTTCGGGAGAGTGTTCCTTATGTTAAAGTATGCTGATATAACCCAAACACCTATGTCCAAAGTTGAACGGTTACAGAGATAATGGCCGGAGAAGTGTTAAAATTTGACAGGTGTTACACACTTGTTGATTACCAAATACATATTAAAACTGGCAGAAATATGTGGTTTCTGTAATGTTAATAATGTACGTAACATCAAACTAACTTGTGAGTGACATGAAGCCATTAAATTGAACTACAAAAAAACTCACACACACCATGTCATAGTTGTCATTAGGGTTCCAAGCACTATACATAACACATGAATGGCAAGCACTGACGTAACATGGCTGACTGCGCATTCTGGTATAAGCCAACTACATAACTGTACTAAAATACAGTACCTGCCTTATAGTAATTGTTCAAAGTGTCCTCCGTCAGCTGCAATGCAGTTTTCAGCACGCATCATGAAGGAATGGGTAGCAGAAGCAGTGTTGCCTGGATAGTGACGTATGTGTTCTGCTGCTGCAAAAATATGATCCTGCAATGCTTCACGTGAAACGACCTTAGTTTCGTAGACTAACGACTTCACGTGGCCCCAGAGGTAATAATCTATAGGTGTAAGATCTGGCGACCTCAGTGGCCATATAATGGGCACACCATGACCTAACCAGCAGTTAGGGAAGGATTCATCTAAGTAGTGTCTCATGTGCTGAGTGTAATGTGGGGCAGCCCCATCATCTTGGAAGTACATTTGGCTCCTTATCGTTAACGGGATGTCTTCCAACAAACATGGTAACTCATTCCTCAGGAAAGCTTCATATGTGTTTCCGTTTAAATTGTTGTGAAACACAAAAGGTCTGATCAACCTGTTCCCAAGCACACCACATCATACATTCACAGATAATCTCTTTTGGAATTTTGTTACCATTATCTCATGTGGCTTATTGTGGGACCACGCATGCACATTTCGTAAATTATTTACACCGTCCAGGGCAAAAGACGAATCATCACTGAATAAAATGACCCTTAACAGTTCGGGATGAGCTTTTATCCAGTGGCATAAATCCATACCCTGTGCATGGTCGCCTGATTCCAGATGTTGTACCCTTTGATCATGGTAAGGATACAACTCTTCATCATGTAAAGTTCGCCACACCTGCATACATGATACGCCAATGCGAGAGGCCATTCTACAAGTGGACAGACACGGACATCTCTGAACCATCTCAAGAATGTTCTCTCATGTGTTTATCATTCATACATCCTCCCTTTCAGAGTGCACAGAAACACTCGGAAGAGAACCAGTATCACGCAATGTCTGGTGAATTTGCGTAAATACACTTCGAGATGGAATCCTTCGATCAGGAAAATGCCTTTGGTATTCTTCAACAGCAGCACGTGCATTGCCACCGCAAAATCCATACACAAGATGCATTTCACAATATTCCACGTGTGAAAACACAAAAGGCATTTCAGCAACTCCACACAACTAGCCTACCAACCATTCAAACGCAGCCGCAACGTACCCTGAAGGAAGCACATAAGCTTATGGCTAAACATCGATAAGACTTGTCAGCTGACAGGTACAGTGCATGGACCCGCCAGAAGACCACACTTTTCTCGGGCTATTATCTCCGTAACTGTTCAACTTTGGACATAGGTGTTTTGGTTCATATCAGCATTCTGTAACATAAGGAACACCCTCCCAAAGTCTGGCACATTCCTCCTGGGACACTCTGTATATAGTCACACAAAAGGGCTATTTAGAAAGTAATCTCAGGTGGACTCTTAACAAAACAAGTATTGAGAAAAATAATTTATTACATATAAATGATTATGTACATACTGCAGCTACTTCTAATTGTAGTCACTGCTGGATCTGAGGCATGTGTTATGTCAGGGAACAAGTTTCTGTATGTCTGTGTCAAAGAAGTCTGCCATATATGAGCTCAACCACATTTTGATACCTTCCATCAACTCCTCATTATTGCTGAAGCACTGTGATCCCAACCAGTTCTTCAGGTAGGTAAACAGGTGGTTGTTGCTCAGAGCAAGATCAGGGCTGTAAAGAGCATGGTCAGACAACTCCCAGTTGAAATGTTCCAGCATTCCTTGTGTGTGAGTTGCTGTACTCGCATGCAGACATGCGCTGCCAAGAGGAACACCACACCAGATGTTAGCATTCCACACCTTTTGCTCTGAATGGCCCTACACAGTTCTTTTTCACATTTTGCAGTACACTTGTGCCATTATTGTGGTCCTTGTTGCATGAATTCCACCAACAGCACTCCATTCCTCTCCCAGAAAACAGATGCCAACAGCTTTCTGTCAGATGTTTCTTTAAACTTTTTCAGCTTGTTTGGTGAATGTGCATGCATCCACTTCTTTGACTGGTATTTGGTTTCAATGTTCACAAATGAAAACCCAGGTTTCCTTACTTATTACTAGTATAATGTGATTGAGAAATTCATCGCCATCCTTATAATATGTCTCCAAATAAGTCAAGGCCACAGACATTGTCTGTTTTGTGTGCTCCCATGAGCATTTTTGGAACCCATCTTGTACAGAACTTGTGATAGCATAGCCTAAGTGGGATAATCTTGTAGTGAACAACAGTGTGTGAAATTTGTGGAAATTCACATGAAAGTCCTGAAATTGTGAAGTGCTGTCTTTCACAAATTTTTTGGTCAACACTTTGATCAAGATTATCACTCACTACTGACGGCTAACCACTTTGTGAACATCTGCTAGCTCATTATGAACATTCTACACCACTGTCTTGCAGTTCCTTTACTCATTATATTTTGGCCATAAACCATGCATAATTCACAATGGATTTCCACAGCACTAATGTTTTTGGCATGAAGAAAGCAGATAACAGCACGTATTTCAAAGGTGGCAGGATTATCAATCAAGGTACACAACATCTCACTCTGCAGCTGCATGACTCAATTCATTGAAATGCTGTTTCCAGGTAAGTGCTCTATTAAAAATCCCTTCTGACACTCTGCACAGAAGGTAGGGATTCAAAGTTTGAGGTTCCAAATTTCATCTGTTTCTGAAAAGAAACTTCAACATGTGAATATAAACCTTTCACAAATGTTGTTGGCGTGTGGGCATATTAACAGGAAGCATTTCACGCATCTACTCATAATCCAGGCAGGTTCTATTTATCATTTGTTGGTCCATGCTTACCAATTATGCTGTAGGTTTGACCACATATGAAAAGAACTGACACAAATAGCCTTTATTTCTTCTGTTGGACCAGTTAAATGATTTGCAGCAGTCTTGAGTAACCATCCTGTATATAATACAATAGAAAGAACCTAATTTACGACTAATGAAGATATATACCTGCACAATACATGGAACGCATATAATTACTACATAAACAGCCATTAGCTTGAAGCCTAAAACTGGCCACCAGTTGCAGCAGGGCAGATTTTCCTCAGTCATCTTCCCAACAGACTAAGAAGCTCAAATAATAACAATTTACTACAAGAAAAATTTAAAATATATTTATCAGATAACATCACCTATAGTCTGACTGACTCATTAATTTTTGTGACATGATACTTATCAGCCTCCTTGGTACTGTAACCTTATCATTAATTATTTACATAATTAATATAACTCTATGAATGCTTTATTTTAAAGGTAATTGAACTTTTTTATATTATGAGGTGTTCCAGTACTGCTAACTGTGGACAAATCAATTTCATAAAAGTGATATAATGTGATGAAGACTGAGTTGTAATGCTGTGTAGTTCGGAGAAGGCCGGACGTTTCGAAGGCGCATATCGCCTAAAATTTCAGGGTAGAAAAGAAAGCCAAGTAACAAATCAACAGAAGCAGGCAGCAAGCACAGCCAAGAGATCGTACCGTTCATAATCACTGCTCTGAGACCCTCAAATCCATCATGAAATAAGATATTTGCTTGCTTATTTATATATCCTCATTTATATATTTATATATCCTCATTCCATCAAATCTCCATAGGCATTACCACCAGTAAAGGTACAATAGGACATATGGAGGATTTAAGACCACAGAAACTGTTTTCAAGACTAATTATACTGTCATATTATTATCTCTGTATTACTATATTATTATTATTATTATTATTATTATTATTTATTATAATTTGGCATACTATTTCTGTATTATTATATTCTTATTACTATTTAGTATTAGTATTAATATTAATCTTTGACTTGTCCCATATCATGTATAATGATTCATGCATGAAATAAAATTGAACTGAATTGAATATATTTTAAAAACACTCACCTTACACGAATCAGATTTTTTACTTTTCTTTAAAATTGAACTGAATTGAATATATTTTAAAAACACTCACCTTACACGAATCAGATTTTTTACTTTTCTTTAAAATTGAACTGAATTGAATATATTTTAAAAACACTCACCTTACACGAATCAGATTTTTTACTTTTCTTTAAAATTGAACTGAATTGAATATATTTTAAAAACACTCACCTTACACGAATCAGATTTTTTACTTTTCTTTTTTTGGTTGGAATCCGTTTTTTGAGTTGACACGCCTGTTCCAGTTTTCCTATTTTCTGCCTTCTTCTTTTGATTTCTTTTGGGAGAGTCGTCATCGTCGTCCATGCTAAGTACAGCAAACCGGGAAGCCACTGCTGTCGCCATTCTTCTGCTTGAAATTGATGTGAAATAAAATTGGACACGAATTTAACACCTTTCGAACCCAAAGGATTTAATTTGTGATTAAAATTTATATCTTACTACCAGAGAGATACTCTATTTATAGTTCTATTCTCACTTAAGAGTGCAAAAGTTTAACAATCTGTCGACCTAGCTTTCAACAACCTTAACTCCTAAGACGCACATTCCCCTTCATTTGTCGTTGTGCATAGACTTCTGGGATAAAAACTCACCGCGACCAAAATTGCATTGTGGGAAATAAATATGTCTGTTGGTTAGTGGAGTCTGAGGTATTTCTGTTTGTAAGTTCATTATTGACGTTTATTCAAACTATGCTATTACCTGTGGGATCAATGAAAAGTTCTTATGCTAATTGTTAGGTACGTTGCTTATTACTAGCACTGTCAATAACTGGGGACGATTTGTAGTCGTGTGTGTAATACATGTATTTATGTTCTTCAAACGCTATCAAATCTCCATATAAATATTGTTTCACATCTTGTTTATATAAGAAAAAATCGGTCGCAATAAGTGTCAGTGGATTTAAATAATATTTCATTGCCACGAAAAATAATGTATTACTTTTATTGAATTTGCAGCTACCGTTTTCCATGGAAATTGAATATATTGCGAGTTGGTGGGGATAATTTCTAAGCTCAATATTTGGCACGCTCACCCTGTTGGTAAATTGTATAGACTTCTTGGAATTAATTGCGTTATATTTACCTTAATAAATTTAAAATCATGTTTAAGAACTCCCTTCTCCATCTCTTGGATCATATTAATATTAAATTTAAACTGACACTTTGTAGCAGATTTATGTAACATAATACATTCATAAGATTGTAATCATGATGCCTGCCACCAATGTGTTTATTCTCATAGTGTCTTTCTTTCTTGTTTTGTGTACAACTGCTAATAGGCAACATGAACATTGAGTGGTTGCATCAAAATGTTTCTGTTTTTGTAGTATAAATGTATCGAAAATATTTGTTATGTTAGAAGTTGACTATTGATGTGAAGATTTTCAGTGCTGTTGCTATGTAAGAAAGGAATGACTAGTTCCGAAGATCCAGATCGGCAGTCTTTTGTATTAGTAATGATTGTATGTTTGACTGTGCTCAGTAACCCTAAGCAGATATATGATAGTAACCTCTTTCTTATCATTTGTTTGTTTTTATAAGAGGAACCTTGCCATTTTTAACTTCATCCCATAAGTAAAAATAAATCAGTATATGCTCACGGAAGGACGGAAATCACAAGACCATACTGAGCAGCTTGCCTGTAGTAGTAGCACCAAGTTTTCATTAATGAATGTTTTCCTACCTCAAAAAAAAAAAAAGATTGAAAGGTTCTCTATATAGAATCATCTAAGATTACCAAACTTATCTTTGCAAATATTTCATTTGGATTTTCTTTTGTAAGTCATGTATTTGTAGTTTGTTTAATGATGTCAGCTGAGATTATATGATGTCAAAATTATTGGATGATAGTGAATAATGAATTGAAGACAATGTGGCTGGAAGTATTCATGGCCTGGTTCCCAGTAGAGTCCTGGAATTTTTGTTTGGGGACTGAGGAAACCTGTGAAAAATTTGTGTATTTAGAAGTTTACAAAGATCTTCAAGTAATAAAACTTTAACCCTCTTAGGAGGGCTTTGACAAATAGCTTATGATTGTAACTCATGTACAAGATTAGGCAGTTAAGCACCGACTTCTGACTGTGGTTCAGTTCCCAGTGACTTCATATGCAATTTACGGTACACAGAGTGGCCCAGAAGCAGGTTGTCCTCTTTGAGTTTCTGCATTCCCCCCCCCAATTGTACCATACTCATCATTCACTATTCGCTGAAGTGTGTGTTAGCCATATGCAGGTATCAGATTATCACATCTCCAACCCCAAGTCTGGGACTTAATCAGTTGGCCAGTTACGGGGTAACCGCTTCCTAAATTGGAGGTATACCGGTAGGGTCATCAACAAATCCTCTCTATTAGACTTCCAAATTAATCTAACCTATGAATTATGGGATGATATTTTTGTAGATAGTGATGTGGATACAATGTTTAATAACTTTTAAAATACTTACCTTAGGATTCTAAATTCATGTTTTCAGATCACAAAATCACAAAGTATAGATGCTAATAAATCATGGATAACCCCAGGAATTATAAAATCATGTAATAAAAAAAGGGAGCTCTATATAAAAATTAAGAGCAATAATGATTCTAGATTAAAAGAACACTATAAAATGTATTGCAAGATATTAAGTAGAATTATCTCAACAGCAAAAAAGTTATATCTGAACAAAGTCATAAGAACTTCCAATAATAAAACAACAACCTGGAAAATTATAAAAAACATGACTGGAAATAGCCAAGCTTCTACTAAGGTGACTTGTTTAAATATAAAGGGTAATATCACTCAGGACTACAAAAATATAGTAAGATCGTTTAATAACTTTTTTTTAGATATAAGCAATTCTACGAAGAAATGGACAAATAATACTGTGGAAACAGATAAGAAGTTCATGGATTATTTATACACTTCATTTCCAAAACCATCTCAGAAATTGGTATTAAAAGCAACTAACAGCAATGAAATAGAAGAGATAATAAGATCTATAAAACTCA